AAGGGGAGGGTTGCGGGTGGGAGGGAAGCTATGGGGGCAGTAAAGCCATTGTAATCCATAAGCTGTACTTTGGAAATTTATATTCATTAAATAAGAGTTAAAAAAGAAAAAAAAATTTTATTTTAGAATAATGTTAAATTTATAGAAAATTGTGTGGTAGTACTATAAAGAGTTCTCATATACCTCTCGCCCCATTAGAACATGTACCAGAGAGGGGCACAAAGAACTTTCCTGGAGTGATGGAAATATCCTTATGTCCATTATGGGTGACATAAATGTAGATGACTTTCAAACTTACATTTTTGAGATCTATTAATCTTATTGTATATAAGTTCATCCTTAAAATAAAAAAGAATACATTCTATCATTTCTTCAAGTCAAAAATAGAATTTTGTCCCCATTTTTCTCTCCCGATTTGTTTTTAAGGTTTATTTATTTCTTTGAGAGACAGAGTTACAGAGACAGAAAGAGAGAGAGAGCTCTTCCATCCACTGGTTCACTTCCCAAATGGTCGCAACAGCCACAGCTGGGCCAATATGAAGCCAGTGAAGCCAGAAGCCAGATTTTTCCAGGTTTCCCCTGTAGGTGCAGGGGCCCAAGCACTTGGGTCATCTTCCGCTATTTTCCCAGGTGCATTAGCAGGGAGTTGCACTGGAAGTAGAGCAGCTGGGACTCAAGCCAGCATTCACATGAGATGTTGGCCCTGCAGGTGGAGGCTTAACCTACTATGCCACAGCACGGCTCATCTCCCAGTTTTTAAATTATGTAAAAAGAAGTTCACAAAAACTTAAGTTTGCAAAAACTTGTTCTTTTGTATTTAAAGTGGAGAGAATAATGATATGTCATGTGAGATTTGTTTTGAAATTCTCCAGATTAATTTTTAAGGGGAGATAAATAAATGGAACAAGATCACTAAAATTTTGATAACTATTTTTTGCTTTATATAATCTCATTTAAGCTTTCAATTTTTATTTTGATTCATTTTTAATCAATTCAGTGTAATTTGCAGATACAATTCTAAGAATATAATAATTTTCCTTTCCTCCCTCTCTTCCTCCCTCCCAGTCTCTTTCCATCTCCATTTCTTTCTTTGTTTTAGCTTTTGAGATAACATATTTTAAATTTTCATTATAGTAAAATAGCTTAGTACTTCATTGAATAAGTAGTAAATTTAAAGCAAAAAGACTCTAATTTAGCGGGAATATACACAATGACTACAAACAATAATTGAATGTAAAAATGCATTTCACCCACATACAGTAAATTTTAAAGTAATCACAGATTAAAACTATATTAGTATAACATTCTTAATCACTTGTTTGACAAAAGTATAAAACAAAGTTTTACAAATCTATATTTGCAGCAATGCTGATAAAAAATAAGTGCCTTGATAACTATTTCTACTTTTGAATATGTTTAAATACTCTAAATTAACTCATGTACTTAACAGAAGAGAAAACCGATAAGAGCAAAATAGGGAATTTCATAAACGTCACCCCATAGGGACAATGCAAGCTTTCTCCCCAAATGCCATCATTTAAATTTGAATCATCACAGAAATATTTGTTAATCTGTTTTTGTTTGTACTACTTTAGCTTTGTGCAACTAACAGAACTTGGGAAATTTTCATTTTTAAAAACTTATTGGCCGGCGCCATGGCTCAACAGGCTAATCCTCCGCCTAGCGGCGCCGGCACACCAGGTTCTAGTCCCAGTCGGGGCGCCGGATTCTGTCCCGGTTGCCCCTCTTCCAGGCCAGCTCTCTGCTATGGCCCGGGAGTGCAGTGGAGGATGGCCCAAGTGCTTGGTCCCTGCACCCCACGGGAGACCAGGAGAAGTACCTGGCTCCTGCCTTCGGATCAGCACAGTGCGCCCACCGCAGTGCGCTGGCCGCAGCGGCCATTGGAGGGTGAACCAACAGTAAAAGGAAGACCTTTCTCTCTGTCTCTCTCTCTCTCACTGTCCACTCTGCCTGTCCAAAAAAATAAAACTTATTAACTAGAAAATTAAATAGCTAAAGTTTACATAGATTTATATGATTTTATTACATGGTGATACGTATTGTTAAAAACAAGTAAGACAATAAGATGACATACTACACTGTAAATATTTACAAAGCTAAAAAAATGCCTAAGCCTTAGAGACATCTACAATTTGACAGAAAAGTCAGGTGAAGAATAGAAGGTACTGGGAGCCGGTACTGTGAAGTAGCAGGTAAAGCCAGCATCTACAGTGCCAGCATCCCATATAGGCGCCACCGGTTCAAGTCCTGGCTGCTCTGCTTCCTATCCAGCTCTTGGCTATGGCCTGGGAAAGCAGTGGAGGATGGCCCAAGTCCTTGAGCCCCTGCATTTGCGTGGGAGACCTGAAAGAAGCTCCTGGCTTCAGATTGGCACAGCTCCAGCTGTTGCAGCCAATTGGGGAGTGAACCGTGGATGGAAGACCTCTCTCTCCCTCTCCCTCTCCCTCTCTCCCTCTCTCTCTCTCCCCCTCCCCCTCTCTCTGTGTAAACTCTGCCTTTGAAATAAATAAATAAATCTTAAAAAAAGAATAGAAGGTACTTTAGCAAATTATCTTATTGAAGTTATGCATTTTTAGTTTTCAAAAACTACACGAACTCAATAATGACAGACTACTGTAAACATTATAGGTAGTTGAGTCCATTCAAAATTATTTCACTTTTTTTGCAGTGTTTTACAGAGGAACACTTCAACAGAAAACAACTATGTGGACTCTGTGGGCCAGACTGCCTGGATTTGAACACTAGCTCCTGGCTCAATGGGGGCAGTGATGATCTTGGACAGATTGAAAACTCGTCCTCACTTTCCTCCCCTGTCAGAGATAATAATACCACCTAACTTAATGCTCATGAAGTGCTGCATTTGGGAAACAAAATTTGATAGTGATCACAGTATTCTTTATATAGCAGCAAAGCAACATGTCTTCTCTGGGCTTTGAGATTTATAGAACTTCTGTTCTCCTCTTCCTTATGCACAACTGAGAAATCCAAAACTCAGTGAAAACCATGTATTTAAGGGTAATTGCTTGGAAACAAAATCTGATCTGACATGAACGCATCTGACAGCAAAATCTTACTTGACTCTATCTATGCTCCTTATTTATTCCCTGGTTAGTATGACCACATTCTACTGCAAAAATATTTATATGCTTCTTTCTGCATTCTGTCCCAGTCCTCTGTATGTTCTACAATATGTGACATACTCATGTATGCCATATTACTTTTTATTACTTTTAAATTTGTTTATATATTTTTTAAATTTTAATTTTAATTAATTTTTAGCAGATCCAATATAGTTTTTAGATACAATTCTAAGAATATAATGATACTGCTTTTTAAATATGTGAAAAATCTGAATTACAAAACCCATCAGGCCCAAATATTTCAAATAAAGGATATGGGACACGAACCAATGATTTTCAGAGGTCAAAACTCTTTTGAGTCTTAGATGCAAAAGAAAAAGAATATACTTAGTCCATTTTGTCAAAGGAAAGTTGTCAGTAAAAGCACTTAACAATGTTAAGTTTCCTATAATGATTGAGGTCTGATCACTCACCATTTGCTGGGTAACCTGGTGTGAGAGGGTCACCTGCACCATTAAGATTTAAGACATTTCCACGTTGGACACCACCTCCAGGGAGATTCCAGCCATCTGGATAGGACTCCACTCCGGGAGCAAAGTAGTCGGCAGGGTCTGAGTACAGAATGACTCCTATGGCCCCTGCCAGCTGGGCATTTTTAACCTGGAAAACACAGTAGCTGTTTTTCTTATTTTCAGTTGGTTGTTCTACATTTGGTAGTGTCAATTTTCAAAATTACATTTACATGAGTAGATAAGCTTTATCTTCCACATTTTATTGTTAGAGCTGTAGCAAAGGATACCCTGCAGAATGTTTTTTTTTTCTTTTCTTTACTACAAGTTCTAAAAGTGGGTCAGCCTTAGAGCAGCATATTTGGAAAATTTCCATAATATGGGTAGCAGGCACTTGCTGTTTTCCTCTGCGAGCTGAGAAGCACAAAAAAACAAGTAGACTGCACAGACGGGATTCCTATTTGTTTTACTACTGGTAGGCAACATTTTGAAATTTAATTTCCCACAAAAGAGAAAAAATACATATTAACTAATCAAACGACAACTATTTTTAAAACTACCATGTTTAAATGTTTCCCTATTATGTATATCCATAAGACATATTGAAATTTAATTTGGTAAATATTTTGGAGGTAATATTTAAAACAAAGATATTGAGAGTTAATAACAAGTCCAGTGTAGGCTTCTTTAAAGGCCATAGAGATAACTTACAGGTACAGAAAAATCTGTTCACCCTGATCTTCTAAACTGGCTACACATCAATGACCCAATTTAAAGCCCCTGCCTAAAAGTTAGTGTGTCCTGACTGCAGGGTGGACATGTTAGAGAATAGAAGATGACTGTGGAATTCAGATGGTTTAATGAGGTGGTTCCACTCATGGAAGATAGCATTACCACTTTTTATACTGAGGCCAGAGGAAGCAGATGAGCCTGACCTTATTTCCTCTGAAAACTTTCCCATATCTGGCAATCACAATCTTTCCAGAGCAATTGATTTTCATATCCCGCTCCAGTTTAAAGAAGTCTTCAGTTCGCGCATAGTTAACATACACTAGTTCACCCTGGGGAAATCAAGAAGGATTTGGTATAAGCAAGATATATTTGACATCTTTTGAAGAAAGAATAGCCAAGAACACCCAAGAAGGTCAAAAAAGATGAAATTCAAATATGACATTCAAGGAAAAAATGAATTAAAATTGCAAAAGTAGATGGATAAGTTCAAGACATATGAATGGAGTAAATTTTTATCTGCCTCCCACTTATTGATAATAGAGCCAAGAACTCCCCCAGTAAAACACACACACACACACACACACACACACACACATTGCTGCATGCAATCTGAAGGGCTCCAGGCTCCTTGCATTAAGAAGCCTTTTATTCTTCTCAAGAATGAATTTACAAATAGTACTTAACTAAGTCTTCACAAACACCTGCTTTATGAGTCTGGTTCCCATTGTTAATATGATTAGGTACAAGTTTTACAACATACTTAATCATTTTATAAATGAGAATATTGATAGATTAAATCAGTAACTTTCCAATATCTTTTTGCTCACTTAGTCCCTAATTAATTTTAAAAAGAAATGTACAAATTCATACATTTTATGTTGACTGCTAAAATTTTAAGATATATTTAAATATCTTCAAAAATATAATTTCTAGCTGCTATAATTATTGGCATTTTAGGAGCAATTTACATAACTTTTTATATGTATCCAATGGGAATCAAATACTATACTTAGTTACTATTCAACTTCATTTATTTAATCAATATATGAACACACTCTTCTCTATAGTCAGAATTTTTCTCCTTCAATTTACATTCCCCCGCCTTCCCCACTGGAGTTTTACTCTACAGCAAATGTGTTTTTGCTGGACACTGGGATGAGCTTTCCAGACTCCCTTTCAAAGAAGGACATCTTGCTCCAGTTGCAGGAAAAGTGTTCTGCAGACAGCTGTCAGTGGCCAGAGCCTTCACAGCCTGCCTCTGCTAAATTCACCACCTCGCTCAAGGTCATGCCACTTCATAGACCACCACACATTCAAGGGCTGATTGATGCAATAGCACAACAACTTGGAACACCTTGGGCCAATCTAGGACAATCCTGAAGGATTATTCTAGAGCTCTGGATAGGGTCATTCAAGGTTGTTAGAGAGCTGGCCTTGCAATGTGACTGCTCCCTCTATATATTCAGCTTTCTTCCCCTCCCTGCCACAGATGTGGTCCCTAACAGAAGCTCCTTAATTGTCATTAACCCAGTAAATTCCACTGCAGATTCTATTACCTAGAATTTGGATATTCCTGAAGGTCTTTTGTTTATCACTGTCAAATTCCCTTAAATAAGTTTAATTGCGTAGGCATATACCTCAAATTTCTTTTTTAAAAAGTTTATATCCTGAAGCAGACTGCATGTGTTAAGGAAATTCTTTAAGAGGCAAGTGTTGTAGTAAAGTGAGCTGTTGCTTAGCATGCTGCATCCCACATGGAAGTGCTGGTATGAGTCCTGGCTACTGCACTAACAATCCAGCTTCCTACTAATGCATCCTGGGAGGCAGAAGAAGATTCAATTACTTGGGCCCATCCCACCCACGTGAGAGACCAACATGGAGTTCCTAGCTCCTGAATTCAGCCTGACCCAATCCTGGCTGTTGGGGACACTTGGGAAGTGAACCAGCGAATGGAAGATCTCAGTCTCTCTTGGTCTATCCTTCTCTGTGTCTCTATTCCTCTGCCTTTAAAGTGGATGGAATTAAATACATATTTTAGAAAGGAAATTCTATAGTAGCATGCTGTAATTATTGTTAGTATCAAATTGAAACTAACAGCTTCATTGCAAATTTTTATTCATAGTTCCTAAGCACAAAATATATACATTTCATAATGCAATGAATGGGACATTAAAGCATTATCTTATAAATTTGTAGATGAATAAATTACTGCTAGATTAAGATAAGGGTCAACAATATTTTTATTCACATTTCTTGTTTTTACATGTAAGTTCTGAGAAACTTTGGATAGGAATGAAAAAAGTTTTGTTAGGGAATTGTCACTAAACTTATTACAAGTTACAATGTGAAAATCATACCAGTTCATTATCCAAGTAACTTTTAAGGTGATCAGCTGGAAATGCAGTTGAGTTCATCTTTAATTGTGTTCAACTGTAGACTACCTGACTTGCTAAAGGATTGTTATCCAGATATAATTATTCAATATCTGAACATTGAAAGTACTATTTCTGGGACCAGCATTGTAGCATGGTGGGTTAAGCCGCCACCTTTGATGCCTGACATTTCATATGAGAACCAGTTCAAATCCCTGCTGCTCCACTTCTGATCCAGCTCCCTGCTAATGTGACTGGGAAACCAGCGGAAGATGGCCCAAGTATACAGGTTACAGATTTCTGCCACCCATGTGGGAGATCAGGATGGAGTTTCTGGCTCCTGCTTTTGTGGCCATTTGGGTAGTGAACCGGCAGATGAAAAAGCTTGCTCACTCTCTCTCTCTCTCTCTTCATCTTCCACTCTTTCAAATACATCTTTAAAAAAAAAAAAAAAAAAAAACCTATTTCTGACTTTGTCCTTTATTGGAGCCCAAAGATTTTCAAAATTCAGAGAAATGATTCAGGATATGTTTTAGAATGGTTTGGAGATGTTTGTCATTTGTGAACTAAGAGGGAAATGTGAACAGGGAGGCAGGCACAAAGTGCCCACAGAACCTCCCCACAGGCTAGTTCTCAATTCCATGAAAGAGGACACTGGGTGGCTGATGACATGGAGACTATTTTCCTTAAAATTATCCCATGCTTACCCAGGGAAAGTCATCATGAACCCTAGTTTAAAATTTCCATCCCAGATGATTCCCTATACCTTATAATTTTATTTTGTTTTTTCCTCCATTTTCAAGACATTTATCATAGAATGTACATAATGCATTTATACCAGATCTAAAATTGAGAGGTCTCCAGGCTGATACTAAAATGCATTTGACAAATTTGTTGAAGATTTATTATTGTATGCCACACAGCATTCCAAGCAATTCAAAATTCTTTGTTTTTGAAGGTACTGACACTAATGTGTCAACGCAATACTATAGCTCTACTAGCAATAGCACTATATGTCTGGTTTATACTTGTTAACCCTCTCTGGAGCACATTTGTATTCTATTTTAACTGTGGCTACAAAGTCATTAATCTATTTGATTTTTTAAAAAATAATTAGAATAACTATTCTACATAAAATGTATCCTTAATTAATATCACCCACTTTCAGGGATTACATCTGTTTATAAATTGTGGCTATCTTTTGATAAATCAGCAACCTTCACAAATTATAATGGAGAAGGGAAAGGAGAGACATTAGTTTAAAAATGACAGCCAACTATGAAAACAAAAACAAGTGTGATAGATATGCCCTTGCAACACTTCTCAAATGCAAGCTGTCACAGTTAGTTAGAAAAAAGCTTTGTTTGCAAACAATAACCTTCTTGTACAACTTACACTGAACCATTGTTCTGTGACTCTGAATAAATACAATCTTGTACTATTTGGTCTAGATTTTTCCCTGTTTCCTTCCAACTTCCATTTTCCTGTCCTTGTGGGTAGAGACTTAATTGGGAGACACAACCAGTTATTCTCAAATCCTGGTCCTTGAAACTAGGAATTAATAAGACCTAGAACTTTATTAGAAATACAAACCCTTAGTCTTCATCCAGACTTAGTCAAACTCAGGGGTGGGAATATGTGTTTTACAAGATGATAATAACGCATGTGAAGGTCTGAATAACCAAAGGCTAGATTATATTTTATGGACATTGTGTCAAATTGCTAATTTAGAATTAGTCTTAAGAAGAGTCCAATATTTCATCCTTCAGAGAATTCACGTGTAGATGCAAAGGTTACCGATAGTGAAATACTTTATACAACATGCAGGCAATACATAATGCAAAAGAAAATTTTCACTCTACTGGCAAGGTTGCAGATCAGGCAGTGTGGTACACCAGCCTGCATACTCAACTGATATTTGAGCACAAAGAGCTAAACTAATCAGAAAAATTACATTCTACCTTTTCAAATTTCTCATTTCTGTGATTTGAATGTATCTCCTCAAAAATTTAGGTGTTGAAACTTGAAGGTCAACGTGACAGCATCAAGAGGTAGAGCCCTTTATTAGATAATAGGGCTCCTCCCTCCCTCACCAACAGGCTTAAGGCCCTTACCAAAGAGGTTTCACACAGTGTTAAGTTTGCTTGCCTCCTATCATGTGAGGAACAATAAGGCATCCTAGGAGCAGACAGCATCCGTCAGCAGACCTGCCATTGCCTCGATTTTATACTTCCCAGAAAATAGTTTTCTATTTCTTAGAAATTATGTAGTTTGTGGTACTTTGTCATAGTAGCATAAAAGAACCATAACATTCAGAAAAAGTGAAGTGCTGTGCAAGAATCAGGAAAATGATTATAAAATTTCAATGATACTCATGCAGTTTGAGTAAACCACACACAATTTTCTAGAATGGCCACTTACACTCTTCATTTGGAAATGACAGTACATTTATTAATCAGTATTATACAACTGTGGTAAAGTACATAGGATATTCATTCAGTGGAAACTTCTTGGCAATAAAACAGAACTGTAGATAAATGTATACTTCCAAAAACTCAATGCTTGGTGAAAGAAACTGGACATACAATAATAAGCTATCTGATTCTATTTATATGAATTTGTAGACTAAGCAAAATTAATATGCAGTGGCAAAAATATTGAAAGAATGATTCTTTCAATGATATGTGGAGCTGATTAAAAACAGGTTTAAGGGAAATTTCTGAAATGATAATCATATTCCATACATTTATGATGTTGGATTATGCAGGTATAAGCACTTATTAAAAGTCAATAAATGCGAGTTTGTGACATGTGCTTCTCATAGCTGTAAATTTCATCTTAAAAATCATTAACAAAAATAATATCCCCTTTTCTTACTAAGAAATTCTCATTTGTTAACTGTTGAAAAAGAACAAATCTGAATCACATCAAAAATCCCCTTATTTAACTTAATTATTGCCTGCATATTGAGGGCAAGGAGGGCTTCTTTGTATCATTTTTACTTTCTTATACATTTACCTCTGGCATTCCTTGTGGAGAGAAAGCACTGAATGGTGGGACAATATCAGAAACATTTTCATATCCTGGAGGAGTTGGTTCAAATAAAGATGTATTGAAAATCTAGAGAAACAAAATGCAACAATAAAAAATCAATTAAAGATTGATTAGTACAATCAAATAAGGAAAAATGTATACTAGCTCTTTATCAGCAGAGGGCTAATCAATCCTTCAGAATTAAAATGCACACTAGATATACAGCAAAGCGCTAGAAGCTTTGAGTAACACATGAAATAAATAAATTCAGATACTACTGTCAAAATTTATTTAGGGAAACATAGCTAAAGAAACAAAACAAATAAATAACAATAATAATAAAACCAGTAATAAAGAAAGTAGCTGAATATCTGAAGGAGAGGATCAGAAGAGGTAATAAGATGATCTCCCAGGCCGGCGCCGCGGCTCACTAGGCTAATCCTCCACCTGGTGGCACTGGCACACCGGGTTCTAGTCCCGGTCGGGGCACCGGATTCTTTCCCGGTTGCCCTTCTTCCAGGCCAGCTCTATGCTGTGGCCTGGGAAGGCAGTGGAGTTCGGCCCAAGTGCTTGGGCCCTGCACCCCATGGGAGACCAGGAGAAGCACCTGGCTCCTGCCTTTGGATCAGCGCGGTGCGCAGGCTGCAGCGCACCAGCGTGGCAGCCGTTGGAGGGTGAACCAACGGCAAAAGGAAGACCTTTTTCTCTGTCTCTCTCTCTCTCACTATCCACTCTGCCTGTCCAAAAAAAAAAAAAAAAAAAAAATGATCTCCCAAATGGGAAGAGAAAAACTATGCCCTAAAGGAAGGATTAGGAACAGATTGTTTTATAATTGCAGCATATACCATAGACTGGTATAAATAAAGGCCTAAATATATAGCTGCTTCATAGAAGATTAGAAGAATACTGACCCCATGAGAGAAACTTTAGCACCAGCTTTTGATTTATAAGGAAAATTTAATCCCCAAATAAAAAGTGGCACTGTATAGTAACCTTAACCACTTATAATTGTGCTAAGGTAATATCTAGCAGGAAATTAATATTAATTTCACTTCAATGGAAAGTTACTCATTTGGGGGAATCCAGTATCTAGATATACTAAGCAGTATTCACACCAGAAGAATGGGAGGACCAGCATTGTGGCGCAGCTGGTTAAGCCACCACCTGCAACACCGGCATCCCCTATTGGGGCACCAGTTCAATTTCTGGTTGCTCCACTTCCTATCCAACTTCCTGTTAATAACCTGGGAGGGCAGCAGAAGATGGTCTCAGCGCTTGTGTCCCTGCCACTCACTCAATGGAGTTACAGGTTCCTGGCTTGGGACTGGCCCAGACCCAGCCATTGGATTCACTCCAGCAAATGGAAGACCTCTATCTCTGTTTCTTCCTCTTTCTCTGCCTCTTCCCCTTCCCCCATCACTCTGCCTTTCAAATAAATAAAAAGAATGGAAAAAGCTAAAATAAATATATCATGTATCATTTTAAGTGTATCATTGAATTGGAGAGAAAAATAAGGCATACTCAGTAGCTAAAAAAAGAGAAAAATTACAAGAAAGCAGGAATCTTGAGAGGTAACCTCAAAAATTTCCTGGGAAATTCTCATTATGTTATCAATTCAATTTTTCCATGAACTCTTTGAAGCCTGTTGTATATTCACTAAGACTATTCCAAAACTGATTTTTAAAAAATGTGAACTCAGATTCAGGAAGTTGAATGAGTCCTAAGATGAATAAAAAATAATACACATCCAACCAATCCTAGTCAAACTGGCAAACACAGCAGAAAATGAAATGCTAAAAATTTCAAAACAGACTGTAAGAGATTAACCAAAGAAAAAACATTTAGATCGGCAACTGACTTCTCAGCAATGAAGACACCATTCAGTAGAATATTCTCCACATAGTGCTGAGGGGCAGCATGCCCAAACTGTAAATCTGTCCTGCAAAGATATCATTCCTTTTAGAATAAAAATGAAACATTTTCCCAAAATTTAATAGTTTTAGACTAATAGATGTTCAGTTCAGACAAAGAAAATACTTAAAAGACATTGTTCAGCAAAACAAAGCTTGTAAAAGAAGCCCTAAGATGATACAAGAAGGAGTTGTAGGCAATGATATTACAAGTATGTAGTAAAAAGGAACAAGAACCATATACAGTAACAATAATATAATATTGTAATAAACATAATTCAGTTATAAAAATGAATTAGAATTTTGCAAATAAATTGATAATTTATGATCAAAGTGAAGTATTCTAAGATTTTTACAGTATAGAAATATTGAACAGTAAGACCCATTTAAGTAGCAATAGAATATTTTAGATTCCAAATTACTAAAGGAAATAATGCCAATAAAATTTATCAATTAACAAAGGAGGAGAAAAAGGAAGCTTTAGGAGAAAAAATGAAAGATTAAAATTCATATAACAAGACCTTTCTCTCTCTCTCTCACTGTCCACTCTGCCTGTCAAAAAAAAAAAAAAAAAAAGCCAGTGCTGCGGCTCACTAGGCTAATTCTCTGCCTTGCGGCGCCAGCACACCAGGTTCTAGTCCCAGTCGCGGTGCCAGATTCTGTCCCGGTTGCCCCTCTTCCAGGCCAGCTCTCTGCTGTGGCCAGGGAGTGCAGTGGAGGACGGCCCAAGTGCTTGGACCCTGCAGTTGCATGGGAGACCAGGATAAGTACCTGGCTCCTGCCTTCGGATCAGCGCGGGTGCGCCGGCCGCAGCACACCCGCCGCGGCGGCCATTAGTGGGTGAACCAACAGCAAAGGAAGACCTTTCTCTCTGTCTCTCTCTCTAACTGTCCACTCTGCCTGTCAAAAAAAAAAAAAAAAAATCATATAACAAGAAGTATAAGTAGCCTAAACAGTGAATATCAGTTATTACAACAAATGCAAATGAGAAAAAACATAATGAAAAGGCATAGTATTACAGACTAAATAAAATCAGCTGTGTACCATTTTATAAGCAGTAGACTTAGGCAAGTTTGAAAATAACAAAAAAACACAGATTAAGCAAATACTGAGTTTAAAAGTGATCTCATAAAATAAATTACAAGGCAAAGTCAAATAAACTTATGAAGAGAGATAACGAAGATTACTACATAAGTTTTATTTTACCAACAATTCTAATTTTGTTTATATCCAATAACAGAGCCCTATACTGTAGGAAGCAAAAATTGACAGAATTACGAAGAAAATTCTAATATATACATATTTAGTGACATAATTTAACTGTCTTTTCTCTCTCCTTCCATGATGTATGTGTAATTAACAAAGAAAGCAGACAACATGAATCCAGATTAATGAAAAATATGTTTCAGCCAAATAATGAACAAATTCATATCAATGAACAAAATACTAAATCCAATAACAAAAACATTTTTTTCAAAAAAGAGAAAGGAATCAGAATATTTGTAAAACTGACCCACTAGGCACTGAAGAAAGCTCAATAATTGCCAAAGGATTAGTGTCCTACAAACCACGTTATCTGAACACAATATATTTAATTTATAAATTGAATCAAACAGATAGAGAGCAACCTCTAAATTCAGAATATTAAAAATAGTTCTAAGTAATTCCAGGACCAAAGAAGAAAATGTAGAAATTCTAAAATACTTAGATGCTAATGATAACTGAAATAAATTCATCCAAACCTATAAGATATAGCTGACATGGTTCTGAGAAATTTATGACTCTAGGGGCTGGTGCTATGGTGTAGCAGGTAAAGTTGCCACCTGCAGTGCCTAACATGAAATGTATAGGAATGAAATTGACATTTTGAGATTTGATGATTGTTATAGTCCTTTTCTCTACTGTTGAGGACCAGTGATTTTTTTTCTTCATACTATTTGTTGAACTCTTTACTTAGTGTAGGGTTAACTTTCTGAGTATAAAGTAAACTGAAAATAGATCTTTGGGGGGCCGGCACTGTGGCAGAGTGGGTAAAGCCACCGCCTGCAGTGCTAGCATCCATATGGGCGCCGGTTCGAGTCCTGGCTGTTCCACTTCTGATCCAGCTCTCTGCTATGGCCTGGGAAAGCAGTAGAAGATGGCCCAAGTCCTTGGGCCCCTGCACCCACATGGGAGACCAGGAAGAAGCTCCTGGATCTTGGCTTCAGATAGGCACAGCTACGGCTATTGCAGCCAATTGAGGAGTGAACCAGCAGATGGAAGAGTACGTTCTCTCTGTGTCTCTACCTCTTTCTGCAATTGTGTCTTTAAAATAAATTAAAAAATAAATCTTTAAAAAATATATATAGTTTTGGGGCCAGCACTGTTGTATAGTGGGCTAAGCCTCCTCCTGCAGTGCCAGCATTCCATATTGGAATGCTCTTCTTCCTATCAAGCTCTCTGCTATAGCTTGGAAAAGCAGTAGAATATGGCCCTAGTGATTGGGCCCCTGCACCCACATGGGAGACCTGGAAGAAGCTCCTTGCTCCTGGCTTTGGATTGGCCCAATTCCAGCCATTGCAGTCATTTGCAGAGTAAACCAGCAGATGGACGACATTTCTCTCTGTCCCTCCCTCTCTGTGTCTGTAACTCTACCTCTTAAATAAAATCTTTAAATGTTTATATAGTTTCATAACAATAAGAATAAATCAGTAGCTTAAAAAATCTTCCACAAAATAAATTGTCAATGCCAATATCTATCCTTGTGTTTGAAAGATAGTGTGCGTTGGCACCGTGGCTCACTAGGTTAATCCTCCGCCTGCGGCGCCGGTACTCTGGTTTCTAGTCCCAGTTGGGGTGTCAGTTCTGTCCCAGTTGCTCTTCTTCCAGTCCAGCTCTCTACTGTGGCCCAGGAAGGCAGTGGAGGATGGCCCAAGTGCTTGGGCCCTGCAACCACATGGGAGACCAGGAGGAAGCACCTGGCTCCTGGCTTGGATTGGCGCAGCGCGCTGGCTGTAGCAGCCATTTTGGGAGTGAACCAACGGAAGGAAGACCTTTCTCTCTGTCTCTCTCTCTCACTGTCTAACTCTGCCTGTCAAAAAAAAAAAAAAAAAAGAGAGAGATAGTGTGCAATGATCATTTAAATATAACACAATGTTTTTCTAGGGATTAAGAATGCAACTTATTTTGTAATACAAGGATAATACAGAAATTGTATCCCATCAAGTAAATTGCAAAAATGCACTCTAAACAGGTTATGAATATAAACAGAATATAAATATATGAATTTAAAACCCTAATACAGACTAGTTATTACAAGTTCCAAAAATAGATCAGATTAACATTTAAATATCATTGACTATCATCAACAGTACAAGAATAAAAATTACCACTCATATCAAAAATAAATTGTGTTGATAAAATTCAACATAAATTCATAGTAAAAAGTCCCAATAAACTTAGAAAAGAAGTGAATCATATTAACCTGGCAAAGATAATAGCAGCTATTAAATTAATGGTGAGATAGTAAGGCATTCCCTTCAAGACCAGAGAAAGTCAAGGCTGCCTGCTATCACTACTTATTCTCAACAGTGTTCCATAAGTACTGGCCAGTGCAGTAATACAAAGTAGAGGCAGGTAGGCATGGAGGGTGAATCTAGTCTGAGTTGTATTATACAAACTACAGCACCAGCTATTTCCCTCACCAGAGGCTGATGAAACCTAAAACAAAAGCAAATCAACTACTATTATCAAAGTCCTGTGTTTTTTCTGTGATCCACATACGGTACAACTAATCTGAAACACTGGGTCAGATTATAAAAGAAATGATGCCAATGTGCAACAAAAATCAATCTAGAAATCAAGTCATTATATCAGTAAGCCTGATGGCTTTGCAATAATCTTATATTTTATAGGACCATGGTAGATTGGCAAATTCTATTGCAACTTTGAGTTATTCCAACAATTAGGAAAAGTTTAAGATTGACAAAATTGCTTTGGTATTTTTGGTTGACTTTATCAAAGATAGAGTATTTACCAGTCTTAAAGCATTCCTTTACAAAATCCAATGTTATCTGCATAGTCAAAGGTAAAAAGTATATCTAGATAATGGTACATCAAAAAATACTATATTTCTGATAGGATCCACAAAATGCTAATCCTACTTCTTGACTATGGGGAGGGGAATGGGTTGTCTGTGTTGTATGGAAGAGTAAAAGGAATCATAATTTATTACATAGCTCAGCTGTGAATACTCATAATCAACTACATTGGAAGACAGGAGATCCTAGGGGAGTACTGGTATTTGAATCCAGGTAAGAAAACAGAGCACCACTGTCACAATGGCAGTAGATCATGCCTGAATCTGAAACAAAAGCATTGTGTTATTTATGGAAACAGGAGCAAATATCAACATAATTAACACACAATTGAATAGTGATTGCCTCTGGAAGAGGGAAAATAGAGGGAAAAAAAGGCATTCTGCAGAAGTTATTATTTATGTGAATAACTAGGATAAAAATAAAAATAAATGAATTATATAACAAAGAAAAATCAACAAGTCTTATCATTCAGGAAAATAATGAAACTTCTACATGATTCATTTTATATGGTGTAAAAGGATTCAGTAACTTTATAAATGTTTGTAATAGCAAAAACAATGAAAAGATAAAAAGAACAATGGGACAACAACATTGGGAGGTGACAAAGAAGAAATAAAGAAAAATAGAAATTGTTATTTTCCTCATTGTATATGGACAGTCTCTAAATTCAATACATCAAGGCTGAAGCTCAAGTATATATATATATAGTTTTGACACTGTCAGTATGACATTATGTCACTAATTTTTCTAAACATACATTTGAAGATTCTCTAGTAATTAACTGTATAAATATACTACCACTTACTTTGTAAATGTTATAAGACTACCTTTAGGCTATAATTACTAAAATTACCTTTGAATCTTTGAGCTAGTTCAATGAAGTTTTTAACTTTAATTATTATTTAACATAGCAGTTAAGGGGTCGCCTCTGTAGTGTAGTAGGCTAAGCCTCCGCCAAGCATCCCACGTGGGTTTCAGTTTGTGTTCCAGCTGCTCCTCTTCCTACTAAGTCTCTGCTATGGCCTGTGAAGGCAATAGAAGATGATCCAAGGGCTCGGGCCCCTGAACCCACATGGGAGACCCAGAGGAAGCTCCTGGCTCCTGGCTCCTAGTTCCTGGCTTCTGGTCAGCTCAGCTCCCACCATTGTGGCCATTAGGGGAGTGGATGACTGGATGGAAGACATTCTCTCTATCTCTTCCACTGTCTGTAACTCTACCTCTCAAACAAATAAAATCTTTTAAAAAATAAAATAGCAACATAGAAAGATACAAATTATTTTAAGAAATTTAGCATGGGATAATAGCAAAGACTAAAATGTTAGTCAATAAGAGGAGCTTACTGACACATGTTGAAACCGTTTAAAATATATATTTAAACCATAGGACATTTTTAGTTCACTAATCATGCTGGATATATTTGAAGTTGTGCATCACTTAGAAGGTCCAGTAAAAGGATTTACCTTATTTAAAAGGACTATTTTATGTATTACAGTTTGGAAATTAAGGCATGCCTATTAGGGATGAGTTATATTTATATTTTATGAGATTTCACGTTAAACATATATTATAATAAAAGATCAATTATCTGTTTCTCATTCTTTTTCTCTGAAATGTGTTCAAACTTGTAAACAAGATTCAAAATTCCTGAGAGCAGGCACCATACTATGGCTCCTGCTTCTAAGCACTCTTCCCCTCCAAATGTCCACACACAGGGTCTTGGCACAGAAGTGAATATGAAATCATTTGAGACAAAGCTATTAAGCAATAATAAAATCTATTTGGTTCAAACCACACAGTAAGTCTCTGAACATCCTAGGGACCACAAATCTATTCTGTGTCTTTATAGCCTAGATCTATTAAAAATAAACTTAATTACTTGGCAATTTATTAGAATATCATACTTGATAATGGCATACAATGCTAAAAATAAAAAATATAATCTATTATCAAGCACTAATTTTTCAGAATCTTTCTAACATCACATTAAATTCAAACACCACAAGAAAGTAGTTAACATTGGTAATGGGAAATTAAAGGTATCATTCGCAAGCTTCAAAACTATTGATTGCTGTCAATATTTGGAAGTGGGATACAGTATTCATTCATAGTAGATATTTGAAAATAATAAATTTGGGGGGAGAATATCCCTTTTCTTTACTTTTTTTACCTCATTTCCATCTTCATCAATTATTGAGATGTAGTTGGGATGAGTCTTATTCGGAGAGGACAAGAGGACATCATAATGGGCTAACTCAACAGAATCCAGGCCAAATTCTTTCCACTGGGATTGAATTTGCTTTGCAAGCTGAAAGTTTTGATCTGTTCCTGCTAAGTGTGGTATCCGTGTAAAATTACTGGTGAATAAAAATGGAAAGTGGTTAGTCAATCTTTATTGCAAATCAAGAACACAAGGCAGATTTACACAAAAATACTTTAAGATGTGATACAGTAAAAATAGGAGAGGCTACTATTATACATACAGGTCTTCAACATCTGTTTTGGATTTTTCATATCCTAATATACACTAATTCAAGAGAGAAATTAGAAAAACTGATCTTTGAAGAGTAGCATTATGTGCAACCCCATGGTTATAATCCCACAGGGTAGACAAGTTAAGTGTCATATGCTTTAAGATCCATATATCTTATAACATTCATAAAATTCTATTTTTTCCATTGTGTAACATATTTCACATATAACATATTTCACTGTATAAATATTTCCATGAGTAGAATAATTTCACATTTTATATGTTTAGTGCCTCATGCTTTTATTTTAAATTTCTCCTTCCTGGGAAGTGTGTTGTTTCCCCGAATAATTCACTGATAAGTAGTTTCTATTCAAACCATTTTTTAAAAATCCCACGTAACGGGGTATCATGTAGCATAAAAACTTATTTACAGCTCATAAACCAGGAACTTAACAAATTTCTGGTTATAAATATGTAGAGTTGTCTAAAATCAACACCCTTCCGTCTTTATAGTGATTTAAAAAGAATCAACAGGTAACATACCTATTATGATCCTTTTTTCAGATAGTTAATTCTATTGTATATTAATGTTTTGAGCTTAGAAAATCAATTATGAAGGCAAATAACTCTGAATTTATAGATTCCTGTGATTGGTTTACTTGTAATTAAACTGAATTTTATTTATAAAAGCAATATTAACATCATTTTTGGTAAACTTTTAGGAATATAACACTTTATAAAGGACTTCTAATGTGTTCTCTGAAATATGGTAATAAAAAGAAGACAGATTCAGGACATAGCCAGGAAGTCTCTATATATTTCTTGGATGGATACCAGCAAAGAAAACAGAAAAACAACATGTCACTATTTTCTTGTACATAACGCATATTACAAACTGGGACATAACTACAGAAGAATGAAACAGGGTTGGCACTTCCAATGCAGCTCTCTGCTATGGCCTGGGAAAGTAGTAGAAGATGGTCCAAGTGCTTGGGCCTCTGCACATGTGTGGGAGACAGGGAAGAAGCTCCTGGCTCCTGGCTCCAGATCGGTGCAGCTCAGGCCGTTGCAGCCATCTGGGGAGTGAACCAGCAGGTGGAAGACCTCTCTGTCTCTGCCTCTCTGTAACTGACTTTCAAGTAAACAAATAAAATCTTTAAAAAAAAAAAAGTCTGCAGAGGATGCATATTTTCTGAAGCACCAGCTGTAAATTGCCCCTACATGCAAGAAGAGTTGCTGCAGGGGAATCTTGAAACTTCTCACACACAACAAAAAGTGCAGGTGCAAGGTGGGGGGTGTGGAGGATGATCATCTGACTTGTTATTATCAGTGCAATTCCTTGTTACAGCTTTGTCTCTACAATCCAGTATACAACATTACGGTCTTATCAGGCAGAGTTGGAACCTATTCATTTGTAACTAAACACATCATGGAAAAGATGAGAAGAAAAAAGAGCTGGTTCAAATGATTATTTGGCATACATCATACAAGTGGATTACAGATATGGCCACTAACTTGATACCTAACCCTAGCCATCTATTTCTCATCTGTATATAGGGAATCAATCACTATCTCACTAATTCACAAAAATCTGAGGTTCAACTGATATTAAATAGCAGTTCTTAACATTCTTTTTTGTTTTAATCAGTTAAAATGTGTGTCATAAGAAATTTATTGATCCTACTAGAATATAATTTTTTTATAAAAAAGAATCTAACGATTTTCTATAGTAGCATAAGTGTGTTCCTATATCTCTGTCTGGCTAATGTAAGTGTTCCAAGTGTCACATTATCACAAATCATAAAAAAAGTTATTGGTATTGCTGTTTTAACACATTGCGTCTTGTTACAAATAATGCAGCAGTGCCTTAGGGGAGTTGGAGGACTTCAAACCACTCATTAAAAGACATTCAAATACAGACCTAAACAAGTCTAAAACAACTTGTCTTTCAAAATAAGATGGAAAGAGGCTAGCATGATGGCATAGCAGGTTTAGGAGACACCTGTGACATAGGCATTCCACATGAGCACCAGTTCAAGGACTGGCTGCTCCACTTCTGATCCAGCTTCCTGCCAATGCTCCTGGGAAAGCACTGAAAGATGGCCCAGGTACTTGGGCACCTGCCACCCATATGGGAGACCTCCCAACACTGGCCATTTGGGTAGTGAACCAGTGGATGGAGTATCTCTCCCCCCCCCCAGCTTTAAATCTGCCTTCCAAATAAATCTTTAAATGTAAATAATAAAATTTTTTAAAAAAAGGTGGAGAAAGAAAGAAAATACCTCTAAGAGATGCAATATACTGAAAGATCTATGAAATCTACTACCTGTGTACAAAACAGAACAGTACTCAGAGGCAGATAACATAAAAGTGGGGAAAACATTTACTAGAAGAACAAAGGATTATAAAAGAAACAATATAGATGGTCTGAGGTTTGAATGACTCCTGTCTCTCAGATATGCTTTGATTGGAAGCTCTCTAATAGACAAATCACCAGTAGGCAATTGGAGAATCTAGGATGATTTTGAAGATTCTGTTCCTTGGAAGGTTCAGTAGGGGATCCCTGATCCTCTTCCATTTGTGGCATTTGTGTGTTGATGGTGAGCAATCTTGATTTCTGGACAGTTAGAGAGACTTGGTTAGAGCAATGAAAAATAAACAAGTAGCCTACTGTGTAGATGTTGCTCAAAGATCCAGAAATAGAATTAAAGTAAGGCATTAATTTTCATTGTTAGTAAATCTATATTACAAGTTAGAAAAGGGAGAAAGTAGGGTAGCAGCTCTGTCTAGGAGTGAAGATCATATTTTACCAGACTTCCACTATGCATATTACTATACATGATTATAGTGGAATAGGTACAAGAAGCAATGGAGGGAATTCCAAAAGACAAAAACATTTAAGCATCAAGGCCTCTCACTTAAGTCACCCCTTGTGGGTGATCCTGTACCTGGCGAGGATCTGCCAGCCCCACACATGCAGGAGGTTGAAAGGGCATGGCACACCATGCCTTCTAGGAAGGACTCCCTAACCTGACTGCTAGCAGCCAATGGAAGCCCCAGAAACATTTTCCCCACTCCCACCAATCAGTTAAACTTCTCCTGAGTGTGGCCCAGGCCCACTTGGAAAGCTACCCTAGTTACATGACCTTCAAGCTGAATGGAGAAGCATAGCAGTGCCAGTATTGGCTTTATCCTATAGAATCAATGTTGTCTTGAATTAGCTATGCTCCCTCTGCCTGCCCTTTAAAAGGTGTGCCTGCCCTTTAAAAGGTGTGCTTGGTCATTACTAAAGCAGACATGATCACTGAAACTTGTCTCCAATGTTTCTTGTCAAAAAGCACCGTCACCCCACAGTTGCTGACAGCATGTGGGCCTTGGGGGTCGAGCCCCCAACTGGCGCCCTAACATGAGACCTGAACATGTAAGGTGAACAAGGATGCGGGCTCCCAACCCCTCTCTGCTAGGTGAAGAGGGTACCTCCATGTCATTCTAGGGACCTCTGATGCGATCATGGGCTATCCATGTGAACATGGTGAAGTTGGCTGCCCATGTTTTTTAACTTCGCTTATCTTTCTACCTCCCACCCTGTCCCTTATCTGCATACCATGCCAGAGCCATGGCCAGAGGAGGAGCTCTGATGGGGAAAAAGGGACTGCCCTGGGTGCCCAGTTGCGGCTCAGGACCTGGATTAGAGAGCATGTGCTCCTTTGGCCCTGAGGGCCAGGCATAACCACTGCTCCAGCAAAGCCTGGACTGGGTGCCCTAGTGGGTACAACTTGAACTTGGGGCGAGGACTGAAGCAACCAAAGCAGAGACCTCAGATCCTCCTCTCCCCAGTTTTCGCCAACTTGGGTGTACACGCAGGGACCAAGCCACTCCTGGAACCCCCACTTGGCTCCTTGCCGGAGCAGGCTTGGGGTTGGAGCCAGTCCTGCCCTGCAAGAAAAAACACCACTGCTCTGAGGCATGCAGGCTTTTTCATTCAAAGCAAATGGCAGGACTTGGACAGGCTTTTCTGCTGGTAGCTTTTGGAAAAAGCATGGATTTGTTTCTTTTCATGGTCTCCAGCTTTAAGGAAGGTTAAAACTTTAAAAGATAGTTAAAAAGGTTCTGAGAATTTTGGCTGCAAATTGAGCATGCTTTCAATTGTTAATTCTAGGTTTGAGAACTGATTTGATTGCCTGGAAACATGTTAGCATCAGGGAGGTGGAACGTCAAACATGGCAGATGCTCCACTTTCCATGGCGAAAATGGGCAACAGACTCCACCCCAAGATGGCGGCCTCCGTGGCCTGCCATATTCCACACACCTGATTAATAGTGATAAGGGCCCGGTGCTTTGGCTCACTTGATTAATCCTCTGCCTGCAGCGCCGCCATCCCATATGGGCACCAGGTCTAGTCCTGATTGCTCCTCTTCCAGTCCAGCTCTCTGCTGTGGCCCAGGAAGGCAGTGAAGGATGGCCCAATAAATAAACAGAATTAAAGAGGAGTAAATGCTCCAACATGGTGAACAGTCCATACAGCAGACCTGTAGAATGGCAATTGATTCAGGACCTCTGTCCTCAAAGAGTTACAGTATTACGATTAATGGTAAAACTCATTCCCAAAAATTACCTTGTTTGAGTGTGCTATACTCTTAAGTTCTAGTTATGTCTAAGTGTTAAATTCCATTGCCTATATTCTTAGGTATTTCTTTAAAGTTTATTAAGTGTCTCAAACATAAACTCTTAAATCCATCTCTGTGAAATTCCTATTCCATATGTTTTAATATAAGGTCAAACACAGAGTACAGAATTGTTAAAGGCCTCTGGACAGCTGTTTCAATGCATCTTATCGTGTGCTAAATCTTTGCTTAAGGAATAATTTCTCCTGCATCCCACTAAACCCAGAATCTGGGATAGTGAGGATACAGAACTTCCAAACAAAGCTCAGGTTCCTAAACTAGAGGTAGATTACCTGGGATATATTCTAACCCCCAAAAGTGGGCTCTTTCAGTCAAGGGAAAGGAAGCTAATCTATAAAAAGGCAGCCAGGGATATTTCTGGGAATGGCAAGATTCTGTGGAATTTGGATTTCAAGCTTTTGTACATAGCTTTAAAAGGCACTCTGATGCAGACACTGTGGTAGAAAGGGTAGCTTCAAAAGTTGTTCCAAAGAATTAAGGAGCTTCTAACTGAAGCTCCAACCTTGGGAATTACTAATGACAGGATTCTATGGAATATGGATTCCAGGATTTGGATTCTAAGCCTTTGTATGTGTTTTAAAAGACCCTGATACAGACACACTGTGCTGGACAGGGGAGCTACAAAAGGTGTTCCAAGGAACTAAAGAGCCTTTAACAAAAGCTCCAACATTAGGAATTCCTGAGCAAGCCATTCACAGAAAGACCTCTTTAGATCAGTTACAGCTTAAATGGAAGGGACCTTACTAGGTTCTACTGAACGCTACTACCTCAGTAAAATTAGGATTAAACTTCTACCCCTTAAGTCTTCACAGGTGAACTCAACACACCTGATTGATCCTGTAAGCCAGAGATCCTAAGCAAAAAGATAGGTAAAGCCTTTGCTTTTCTCACATCAAGACTGCTGCATCTTAAGGCAGACATGCTATATCTGCCTCTTTTGATGCTCTCTGGGAACTGTTATCGACAATAAAATTCCTAATGTGTTCTTCTATTATAATTCTCTACACTCAAACTAAATGGATTTATAATCTATCACCACCCACTATCTAGGAGTCTTTAAGATACTTTCTTTACATCTTAAAGGGCACTCCACTTGCAGTTGGTCTTGTTCCAGTTTTGCTCATCATTAACTGACAAATTTATATGTTTCAGAACTCAACTTCTGGGAGTAACTGATCATACAGGAGATACAGACATTAGCGGTGACCGAGACTGCTCCATCTCACAAAGCAAATTTCTTAGATTATAGACAGAGACTTCCAGACCCAGGACAGGTAGGGCCTGCACTATGCCCCTCATAAGCAGATAGCAGCTATAGAAGATGTGATAATTCTACCCCCTTCAACATTCCTTAGGATTAAGGGAATGGTGTCTCTGAAAGGGAAAGTAGGCAGGTATATAGGATTAGGTTTGTGAGCTGGAAGAACATGCCTTCACCCCTTGTGTGGCCTCATGCCCCTACCTGACCACACCTGTGTACCCACCTGCCAATCAGAAAGGCTTGAAACACGATGATCCTGGTCCTTTCTCTCTTTGCCTTTCTTTTTGCTCCCTGGCCTTGACTCTCGAGCTAGGCCCTCTTCAATTTAACCCAAAGCTTATTGTGGGTTACAGCTTGTTGCCTGCTGCACTAAGCAGGGTCACAACCACCAAGTGAAAAGCTACTCTATTGGCTGAGATTTTGGCCATAGAGATAGTGTGCCTGAAAACAGAGAGGGGAGATGTGGGTGATCCTATACCTGGCAGGGAGTCTGCCTGCTCCACCCATGCAGGAGGTTGAAAGGGCATGGCACATCATGCCTCCTAGGAAGGACTCCACATCTGACTGCTAGCAGGCCACAGGAGGCCCAGGCACATTTCCCCCACCCCTGCCAATCAAGTAAACTGCTCCCAGATATGGCCCAGGCCCACCTGGAAATCTACCCTAATTATGCGACCTTCAAGCTGATTGAAGCATAGTGGCGCCAATATCGACTCTATTCTATAGAATTAGTGTTGCCCTGAATTAGCTACACGCCTTCTGACTGCCCTTTAAAAGATATGCTTGGTCATTAATAAAACAGATATGTTCATTGAAAATTGTCTCCAGTGCCTTTTGTCAAAGAGTGCCATCGCCCCACCCATGTTGATAGCACACTGGCCTCGCAGGTCAACCCCTTCCAAACATCTGGGAGGTTCCTTAGCAAATTCAGAGTCATAGTTCTAATAAAGGGTTAGATATATATTTGTGTATATATATATATGTTTGCATGATTATGTGTATGTAAATCTATACATCTATGTGTCTATGCAATAGAATGTTCTTTATATAAACTTAAAACTTGAATTTACTGGAGAATCTTTAAATCACTGGAGGAACTTTAAGTATTTATGGACATATTCATTAGGTTATTTGTAAAAAAAAAAAAAACAGAAAAGACACCTCATGCTTTGAAAAACAAACCTAAACATGCTCATCAATTATCTACCTACCTATCTATATACACATACATATAGGTATACAGCATTTTATTTTTAGTTTCTTTGTAAATACTTTTTAAATTATTTATCTCTTTCTCTACACTGGAGATAGCTATTTCAGAAAGCAAGAAACTATTTTTAAAAATACAGCAAATATATGCTCTCCAATTTCATCCTCATCACAAGATTATCACTATTTTCATTTTACAGATGTGGAAATGAGGATCAAAAAGATTAAGAATTCACAAAAATTATTTTACTGTAATTGGGAATTGATTGAATTCACACTCAATTCCATCTGACTCCAAGTCCAATCTTATTTTTAACTAAAATTATCTTCCTCTAGAGTATGAGTCAGCAAACTAAGATCCTCTGGTCAAATCTGGCCTACTGCCTGTTTTTGTGCAGTCCATAGCCAAGGACAGTTTCAACACTTTAAAAATAGGAAAACAAAATTAAAGAAGAATATTTTGTGACACAACAATTATGTGAAATTTAAATATAAATGGCCATAAGTAAAGTTTTATGAGACTGGACGGACTCATTGGTTTAAATGTTTTCGATGGCTTCTCTTTTGCTGCAGTAGCATAGAGTTGAGTAGTTGTGATAAAAGACCAGCTGGCCTGCAGAGGCAGGACCTTTCACAGAAAAAGTTTGCCAACTTCTGCTCCAAAACCTTTGTAATGATAAAGTGCAGCCAAGAGTATAATCTTCCCCAATAAACATGCAATACGAGACGCTCAACAAATAAAACCTTTTTTTTTTTTTTTTTTTGACAGGCAGAGTGGACAGTGAGAGAGAGAGACAGAGAGAAAGGTCTTCCTTTTGCCTTTGGTTCACCCTCCAATGGCCGCCGCGGCCAGCACGCTGCAGCTGATCCGAAGAGTCAGGAGCCAGGTATTTATCCTGGTCTCCCATGGGGTGCAGGGGCCAAGTACCTGGGCCATCCTCCACTGCACTCCCTGGCCACAGCAGAGAGCTGGCCTGGAAGAGGGGCAACCAGGACAGAATCCGGCGCCCCGACCGGGACTAGGACCCGGTGTGCCAGCACCGCAGGCGGAGGATTAGCTTAGTGAGCCGCGGCGCTCGCCTAAATAAAACCTTTTAAAAAGCCAGTTCCTACATATGAAACATTGAATCAAAACTTCTACACCAAATGATAAACTTTTCCAATAAGCAGTCCATATGAATTTTCATATATGTGCTTACTATAAGAATTTCTTGATGTTCTCTGCTTTCAATTCATCCAAAAATGCCCTCTTCAGGTTATTCTGTGGAATAACATTAGTAGCATCATTGGAGGATTTTATAAACCACCCTGTAAAATATATCCAAATATATTAATGAAATACAAAATCATAGATAGGTCTCATTTTCTTTACTATTGTATCTACCATAAGTAAAATATAAATGATCAGTTACCAGTGATGTTAACTGTTTTTCTGAAGTTTAATTTCTCTTGCCTACTTCCATTGAAAAATGATCATTCAGGCTGGTTTTTAAATGACAGAGAATTACAATATATTTTTTATCCAATTTCAATAATAGATGCTGCCTTTTCTGTTTTACAAGGAAAATAGCACTTTAAATGAAATATGGCATGAAAATGAAGTCAGAAAAGAAATCCACCTTCTTTCTCCATAAAGCTTGTCTGCAGTGACTGCTTCTCTGCAGAGCCAGAATAAGCACTTAAAAACGTTAATAATGAATGAATTATGAACACATTTTGGGTACATAAATTCTTTCAAACTTTTAAATTCAAACTTCTAATTTGCTCTGTGAAAGTAAAACAAAATGTGCTGAGATTTTGTTTCTAGTAGGCTTGAGAAGTTCAAGTTCAGAAAGCTACAGCAAAACTATAATACACCCACATTGCTTCCAGACATCCACTGTGTACCTGAGGCTAGGAGCAGAGGATTGCCAGAGCAGGGACAGCCAATAGCCCCTGCAGCCGGCTTTGAACCTGGTGGAGATAGGGCATCATTACAGGGTTTACTTAGAGAAATGATCCCGTTCACACAAACTCAGCACCTAGTCAGCTTTCAGGGAGCTTTCTAATTATTAAAAAGGTACTTCTAATTATTACAAAGAAGGTACTTCAAAATATTCATGGAAATATGGCATTCAAAGATAACGCACCTTTTCCTTGAACTTTCTTAAGACCCTATTACATGCAGACACATGTGCATACAAATATTAAAACACATGATGATGAAACACATGATGAAAGGGAGCTATGACTCTACCCATGCATAAGAAAAGAACTTGGATTAGACTTTGAGATCACAGGAGACAACAGTGAGGATGAAATGAACTGGAAAAGAGCCAGTTGAAGAGGTTAGAGGCTCATGGTGGAGGGGAAGAGCACAGAATCCTAAGAAAAAAGAAACATTAATAAACAACATATTTTATGTCAACTCCAGAGCAGTGTAGACAGTGTTGGGGTGAGGCAAATGCCTGGAAGAAAATACCTTTAAGGGATGTAAAAGATTTCCATGACCTTGTGGACCTTGCCAAGCCCAATTCCCGTTTTTATGGTTTACAAGATTGAAACTCAATAGAAATGTATCATCATTGAGCACTTAATCTTCTTGCAGCCCCACAATAGGCCTAAGTGGTTAATAATAACCACATATCAGTTACAAAAAGACAGCACCCCAAAGTTACACAGATTAGAAGAGACTGCCCTTGGGCAAGCCCACCCATTCCACACAGCAGCGGTGTACCAGCCAGAGAAAACCTGGTCCTGCCCATTAAAGTCCAATTACAGGAATCTCTCCCCCAAGGAGACACAAAGTGCCCAAAACCCCAACACAGTGCTGGGATCTCTGCACGCTCTTTCATAGACTCTTGCCAGTAAGTTGCAGATAATGTTATTTTCATCATAAAGATAAGGAACCTGAGCCTGGGAGTAATTCCAAAACTTGTCAAGGCCAGTAGAAAGTGGACGAGTGAAAAGTAGAATTTAAGCGTTTTAGCTGGTTCGTCTCGTTCTGGCGGTCTTGGGAATTTGGGTTAAGGTTCTGATTCAGTACAAAGAGAACAAAGTGAAACACCTGCGGGTAAACTCCCATTCACAACAATAACCGATTTCCTTCCCAAACATGCCTCAGGTGCTCCCATGGACCAAAGAACGCGAAGAGAAAGAATTCCTGAGCAGCTATGCCCTGAATTCCATTGTACACTCCAAGCAGCATTCCTTCCCCTACGCCCCACTCCAGGTACACTAGATAAAAACCAGGCCCAAGCAGCTAAGAGCCTCTTGCTGCAAAGCTCCCCAGACCGCCCGGTTCAATAGACCCCAGGGATGGGCACTTGCCCTAGAAAGCGCGCGCCAGCAGGTGCAACTTCTTCAAGGTCGGTTTCCATTCTGCTCCAGAACCCGCGCGCCTCCCTCTACTGAAGTCTGTAGAACTCAACCCTGACCGCCCACACACGCATTCCGTCTAACCCTTGGGGCTCATCCTCAAGTTGCTCCCACTCAAATCGCCACGCCTGGGCTAGACCCTCAACAGGACCCCCCGCTGGAAGCCGGCCTGCGAGTGAGTCCCTGAGCCGCAGCACCGTGGGGAAGCTCTGAGGTTTGCTTGCCGAGGGCGCCCTACCGAAGAGGAAGCCGAGGAGAAGGCCGGCGGCCAGCACCAGCGCCCCGGCGCACAGCCAGCGCGGGCGGCGCATAGCGGCCGCGGCAGAGTCGCTTTCGTGCAGCGGATTCCACATCTCTTGCCTGAGCCCCGCCAGGCCTCCCGGACCTGCGTATCTGCTGTGGCCCTGCAGGCCCCACAAACTCCTTCTCCTACTGGGGCAGCGCTTGTCACTCACTGGTAAGCAGCTTGGCACTCTCTCCCAGCTCTGGGGTCTAGTTGCTCCGCCTTAAAATGTTCCTAGTTCACTCGGAACCAATCCCAGCGCGGAGGAGGGAGCAGGATGAGAAACCCCGCCCCTTCTGGAGAGGCGCTTTTAAAAGTTTCTTTTAAAGTGTCTTGCTCTTGCATTATTTAAGAAAGAAACAAAATGAGAGAGTCGGGAGAGACAAAGAGAGAAACAAGGAGGAGGGGGAAGGAGAAAAAGGAGGAAAGAAGTGGGAGAGAAGCAACAGAGGCGGTGGGAGGGAGAGGAGAGGGAGAAAGAAACTCCACCACTGTAACTCAGTGGAAAATGTGTCTCGCCTGTCTCCAGGCTAGTCATTGAAAAGACTAACATCTGATTTCTCAAAAACTTTCAGCTGTGAAATCCTACTAACGATTTTACAATGCTGCAGCGAATAATGTCAAGCAGAAATAGTGATGTTCAGAACTTGTGTGGGTTAGGATACTCAGGGAGGATTGGCATTCCATGTAAATTTTCCTTATGCTCTTCCTAGTGAATATCATTGTTATTTATAAACATGTAGGATATTATTGCCCATTTACAAAATGCGGCCATTTTTTAACAGAATGATTTTGGAAATTCTTGAAGACAGACTTCACTTTCATATCTCAGCTGTGTTTGGCCACTACCATTCATAACAGATATAAAATAAATCTTTGAGGCCGCCGCCGCGTCTCACTAAACTAATCCTCCGCCTGCGGTGCCGGCACACCGGGTTCTAGTCCCGGTCGGGGCGCCGGATTCTGTCTCGGTTGCCCCTCTTCCAGGACAGCTCTCTGCTGTGGCCAGGGAGTGCAGTGGAGGATGTCCCAAGTGCTTGGGCCCTGCACCCCATGGGAGACCAGGATAAATACCTGGCTCCTGACTCTTCGGATCAGCGCAGTGCGCCGGCCACAGCGGCCACTGAAGGGTGAACCAACGGTAAAGGAAGACCTTTCTCTCTGTCTCTCTCTCTCACTGTCCACTCTGCCTGTCAAAAAAAAAAAAAAAAAAAAAAAACTTTGATAATCTGACTAAAAAATCAGACATAATTCTATCTCTGTTATAAATTATAAATATAATGATATTTTAAATGATATTATAAATATAATGATATTTTAAATGATATTATAAATATAATGATATTTATAAATATTATATTTATAAATATTATAAATATAATGATATTTATATCATTATAAGGAATAAGGAGGAATAACTACATACTTTATAAAATCAGCTGTGTTCTTATAATCTATGAAGCAGACCCTGCGTTGACGAGGAAGATCAATTGCCTTGTGGAAGATTATTTATTTGAAAGGCAGAGTTATAGACAAGTGTGGGGGGAGGGGGAGGTCTTCCATATGCAGGATCACTCTGCAAATGGCCACAAGAGCTGAGGCTAAGCCGGGACGAAGTCAGGAGCCTGGTTAATCTGGTTAATCTGCTGCACAACACAGACCCATATTTAGCATTCTTATGAGTGATACACTTTATAGATGTTATGTCATCTTGTCATCATTGCAGCCCTTCAAGGATTGTACTATCACTCTTCTCATTTTACACTTGAAAAACTGATATTTAGCAAAAGTAAGTAAATCATCCAAAGTCACAAATTTATGTCTTAATACAATGTCTGCCTTACACCATACGAGTGGACAAAATGTTTACTGAGTGCACACATTGTAATGAAAGGAGCACTAGATTCAGATGTGAACATTAGAGCGCCCCCTTAGTGGCCAAAGCATTAAATTTCCCTGACTGTCTGTGTTTGTAACATGTGGGATTACTTAGTAATATTATTCAGAACTTGATCAATAAGGATGTTTTGAAAGACAGATGCTGTTATAAGTAAAGCAAATTTCAGTTAAATATAAGAAAATGTTTTTTAACTATATTAGAACTGCCTAACATACTCTGCGCTCCATATTTACAGGTTTTGCCTCCTTACATTCCATCAACCATGGATGGAAATTTTGGGGAAAAAATGTACACACATTTTGTACACATATTTATATATTGAACATGTAAAGACAGATTCTGGAACAAATGCCCAAAGAACAGAGACAGTGACTGTAATTGAATTAACAAGCCTCTGCCAAGGCCAGCACTGTGGTGTATAGTAGGCTAAGCCTCCACTTGCAGCACCAGCATCCCATATGGGTGGCGGTTCAAGCCCTGGCTCCCCACTTCTGATCCCACTCCCTGCTAATTAATGGCCTGGGAAAGCAATGGAGATGGCCCAAATGCTTGGGTCACTGGACCTGCAAGGGAAACCTGCAAGCTCCTGGCTTCTGCCTTCAGATTGGCCCAGCTCCGACCATTGTGGCCATTTGTGGAGTGAACCAGTAGATGGAAGACTTTTTCTCTGTCTCTCCTACTCTGTGTCTGTAACCCTATATCTCAAATAAATAAATGAAATATTTTTTAAAAGTACATACCCTCAAAAAATAAAAATAATTTTTAAAAAAGCCTCTGGCTATGGTGAGAAGAATGTATTTCAAGAGTTCAGAGTGAATAAATATCTGCCCATTTTATAAGCCTTATGCAACTTATAGTTTAGAAGGGAAAATACACTTTTAATGAGTAACTAGTAATTGATATTAGGAGTACTTTCTATATGATAGATACTATGCCCTATATGCATCACTTTGTTTAATTCTCAGGACTTATTCTCAAAGAATTAAAAGCTTCTAATAGATTATGCAAATCACAATACATTCTTATTTAACTTTTATAGGTAAGAAGAGAAATAGATCTTTCTCAACAAAAGAAAGTTCTTATCTACTGATTCACACCTTAAATGCCTGCAAGGGTCATAGCTGGGGACCCTGAAACTCAATCCAGGTCTCCTACATGGGTGTCAGGAACCCAATTCCTTGAGTTGTCACTGCTGCTTCCCAGGGTCTACATTAGTAGGAAGACGGAGTCAGGAGTCAGATATTGAAACCATGCATTGCAATGTGGGACTCAGGCATCTTACCCAGCTTCTTAACCACCTTTCTACATGCTTGCCCCAGGTATTTGCTTTCTGAAACCCCTAATATGCATGAGGTCACACTGTACATCCTTCTTTAACTATTAGGGAAAGACTGAAGTTAGTAGTTTCTTCATACTGGGACATGTGGAAGCAGAGTAACATCAAACCCAGTTGGCTACTCCTTTTTCTTTGCATCAGCCTTGATTGTAACACCTACAACACTATAATGTAACTGTGTTCACTTGTATATCTCCTCAGATATATTTTTTGAGGTCAAGGACTTCATATATTTTGTGGTCATAATTCTTGGTACACAGTAACTATGTAACAAATACATATCAACAAATGAGTGAACTGAAGAACATTGATATTAAAAGTTACTCACTGATATTTTAAAAAAATGTGGTTATGAGAAAGAGTTGAAGAAAGGAAGGACAATCCAAGAATTATATAGAGTAAAATATTTTGGGAGAGAATTACAAGCAGAAGCATGGTCTCAAGCAGCCACAAAACACAGACCTCCATACCAAAAGGCTGAGAAAAAGAATTCTATAGACAAAGGAAGCCAGAGCTAACCTAAGTACAACTGGGCTTTCTCAAGAAACATTAACATTCCAGGCATTAGATAAGGTACAGTCCATGGTTCACTGGGGCAGACAAGCCCAGGAGGTTATCTTAATGACTTTGTTTACAGGTGGTATGCCAGATTCTTCATTTGTAATTAGGTGACACAATGCATAATAAATTATCAAGTAGGAATTTAGCTTGAATGAGCTCTGCCATTTTGGTCCTCACTGTCACCTTGTGCTTTAGATGGCCCTAGAGATCATTCTAAGCCCTATGGAATAAACAAGCTCATGTCATAATTTCCAGCATGTATAAAAGGCTTTTGAATTAATTATATTATGCTAAGTAATGAAGCCATTATGAAGTAAAAGAAGAAATTTACTCAAAGTGGGAAGACAGAGCTTAAGTAGAAAACTAATTAACATCACCAGAAAGCTGAAATATATGCCAAAAAGGACAACAGCTTGTGTTCATAAAAGTACTATGGGTTCTTTGAGGTTAGTGTTCCATATTAACTTCAACAGAAATATATCATGGTGCCTTGAGCTCATCCAGACATACAAAAAATTGACATGACATTGTGGGTGGGTAGATAAGTTGGAATGTAACCAGACTATCTTCTTCCTTGCTGCACAGGAGATAGATTCAGATAGGAATAAAGGACAGGCACTTACATCTAAACTGGACATCAGTATCTACAGAATCTCCAAAGTGAAATCTTCCATAGAGGAAGAAATATGCTTAGCTGAACACTTATCATGAAACAATTATTCAATAAATATTTTTAGATGAATGAACTGTACTATAACTATAGAAGTTACATGATAAATAGGTATAATTTAGTTACAAACCCTATTTAAAATATGTATTTTTTAAATTAACTTATTAATTTATATAAAAGAAAGAGTGATAGGGTAGGGAGAGAGACAATGAGTAAAAGAGAGAATATTAGAGAATCTTCCACATGCTGGTTTACTTCCCAAGTGGTCACAACAGCCAGGGTTGTACCAGGTGGAAGCCAGGAACCCAGAAATCCATTCCAAATCTCACAAGTCGGTGATAGAGACTCAGGTACTTGGGCTATCACCTGCTGCCTTCCTGGGGGGTATTAGCAGGGAGCTGGACTGGAAGTAGAAGAGTCACTCCTGAACCAGCACTCTTACACAGGATGTAGACATCAGGAGCAGCAGTGCTCCTGCTGAGCCACAATGCCTGCCCCACAAAACCCTTTTAAACAACAGAATGTGATGCAGAATAAAAGTTCTTAGCTTTAATGCAGTAATGTGATAATGTATTTTTGTCTTTTTATTAATATGCACTCATCTAACTACTAAGTCTAGAAAGCATTTCTTAATTATCACCATGGGCCAAATACCAAGATGGGTCACAGAAACATCAGAATAATTAAGCTGTTTTATGGAGTAAACCTACTTGAGCTGGAGCTCTTGACCATTGGAACTG